ACATGATTTGTATATATTTTCTCCTATTCTGTGGGTTATCTCTTCACTGTCTTGATAGTGTCTTTTGAGGCAAAAAAGTTTAATTTTGACAAAGCCCAATTTACCCATTTTCTCTTTTGTGTTTATGATTTTGGTGTCAGATGGTTTGTTCATTTTAATGGTGATGTCTTATTCTGCCTTCTTTCTATAAGAAAAATTGGCCTCTGCAATGAGAAACATCACTTATGTTTGTGGGAAGCACAGAATCTGACCAGAGAGCACTAGCTCCTCCCTGAAGAGTCAAGAGAAGCTGCTAAAGAAAAAGGTGGTAATTGTAACTAACACCTACTGCCTAATGGCTGTATGCCAGACACGGTACTTAGCACTCAAAGCATTTTTTTTGAATTCTCAAAATATACCAGAGACATTGTTTTTCCTAGTTGACATCTGAAGAAACTCATGTCCAGAGTAAGTGATGTCCTACAGCTGGCAAGGAATGGAGCCAAGGTGGCAAATTCAGTCTTGATTGTCACCTACTTGCATTGATCCCATTAGCTTCAAGGACCCATACTCCCATTCTTTAAACATGCAGTAAACACTGCACATATATTTTTGAGAGCCTGCCATGGAAAAGGCATTGCACTAGGTATTGGTGAACAAACCAGACACAGTCTTTGCCCTCATGGAACTTACAGACTAGGGGAGAGACACAATCACACAAATAAATGTAAAATGACACTGGGATCAGTGCTGTGAAGAAGTACTCAGTTACCAGCTTTGAGAGCGTACAGCAAGGAGCGCTGTCCCATTCTGGAGCGGGGCATGACGGAAGACTTCACAGAAGTGCCACTGGAACTGAGAGCTTCCAGAAGCCACTGGACTATTTGAAGGAAGAGCTTGGGGAAAAAAACATTGCAGGAAAAGGCAACAGCAATTTCAAAAGCCCTGAGGCAGGAAAGAAATGGTGTCTTTTTTTTGCCAGCAGAGTCTGTTAATTGCCAGGAATCTGCACTTGATATGCAGATTTGGGGGATTCCCACAGATGTAGAATAAATAGGTAATCTGCATAATAATTTTTATCTAAGACCATTACAGACTTTAACATTTATTTAGATATGAAACTACCAGGAACTATTTGTTTATTCAATACTTCTCAAAGGCCTCCCGGCTAGGGTTGCAGGAGGGGGAGTTGAGCCAAGAGACATGGGTAGGAGCCATATCAGGCAAAGCTTTGGAGATGGTGTATTTTTCCAAGAGCAATCAATAAGCCATGAAAAGGTCATTAAAAAGGGGGCAGTGACAATGACAGGACTAAAGAGAATAGAGTGGTGGGGAGCAAAGTGGAAGCAGGAACAGGTAGGAGGCCATGGCCGTGGTCCTAAAGATATAACCGCAGTGCAGTGGGAATGAGGATGGTAGTGATGGGGAGGAGGGACACAGCACACCGTGCTTCACTCAGCTGATAGGTGCGCCCCTACTCCCTCCTCCTCCTGGCCTGGGACCCACCCTCCCAGGAGGGCAGCGAGGGCTGCTCAGGCCCCTGGGTTTGCATGCCTTCTGGTTCCTCACTGGCCCCTGCTACCCTCAGACCAGGCTGTTCAGTTTGGCTCCCAAGGAGGTCTTTTTCTCCAGTGAGTGGCTCTGAAGAATGACGAAGCCGGCACTAATCTGATCCCACTCCTGCTTACTGAGGAGGGTGCTTGGCAGGGGGTTGCTCTGGTCTGCTCTTCCTGCTTGAGTTCCCTGTAGGCCCCAACCAGAGGAGAGCTGGAGGATTACTGCTCCTGGGGCTCCCTGCCCCCCGCCTCACCCCAAAACAAACCTGAGAAAGCTTGAACTTTCTTCTTGCACAAGGAGACACACGTTTGTATTTGTGACAGGGACAGAATATATTTTAAACTGGCCTTCTCTGGTGATAACAGGAATACAGTCTTATTAGAGAAAATTGGAAAGTATGAGAAAATATGTGGGAGACTAAGCAGTGTTCATAGCACTGCCCTGCTCTTTTGCATATTTTTCTCGTCCTATATAGTTATTTTAAAATAGGTCATACATACTGAATACACTTTTGTGTATCTTGCTTTTTTTACTTTGTGTTTTAAGCATTTCCCTGGATCATTAAAATGTCCCCACACACAATTTTTAATATCTCCAAACTAGTCTTTTTTGAAAACATTTTACATAACCTCTTCCTATTTGTTGGATGTTTGGGTTGTGCGTAACTTTAACCATTATAAAGAAGTCTGTGATGCACAAGTTAGCTTATAAATGTTGGTCTGCTTTTTGAATGCCCTCTCCCCCTTTAGAGTTCTAGAAGGGTGGTTAATGAAGGGAGTTGTATAGACAGGACAGGAAAGAAGATCTGTACGCAGGATAATTCCCACCAAAAAGTAGCTCTGCTTCTCCCAGAGGAAAACTAAAAGATGGGCTGGTCTTTTCCACATCGCTTTACTATTTGCCAAATGGTGGCTACTAGGAGTCTGTGCCAGGAAGTACCTCGTTTTTCTAGAGACCCCACTGGATTATGGATTTGCAGGGTAGCAGGGGCTGGGATTTCATCTGTTTTGATCACCTCTGGTGGGGCAGTGAGCCCTCCAGGCCTGGGAGTCTGGTTCCTCTGAGCTTCCATAGAACCAGCCAGGCAACCTTGAGCACTGTCGCATCCTGCTTAAGGGGCCAGTTTCCTCCTCTGTAAAACAAACCAGAGGAGGAGGCAAGAGTTGGGGTTTGACCGGATTTTGTTCTTGTTGCGATGTTAAGTAGCAAAACTCTTACTTCAAATTAAATCCTACCAGAACCCCAATCTATAAAACAGATTAAGGGCATTCATCCTGGTGGAAGTGCGTAGGGAAGGGGAGGGAGAGGGAGGGCGCACTCTAGTTTGAAAACTCTGGCCTGGAGGATGGGAGTTTCTCTGCAGTTCAATTCAGTTCTCTTCCCTGTTACTGAAGTTAAAAAACAATTTATCTTTCATCTATATTTAAATCCTCCAAATGTGCTGATTGATGAAAACTTTCTCTTAAAGGCAATTTGGAAATCAAACAGAGTGGAGCACAAAGCCATGGATGTTTAGAGAGGGGGTGAGCAGTATGTGAGACCCGCTGAAGGGTGACCCTGGCACTTCGAAGAAGGCAGCAGCACAATGGATTTTTCTACAGAAGCAGTGTCAGTTTATTCCTTCGCTGGCACCGCCCCCTCAGTGGGGCGGAATTGCTTGTTTTCACCCTCCCTTTCCTGGAGTCATTTCAGACCAAACTTGAGTCCACAAATGCTAGCTATTTGAATCCAGAGTAACTGCAACAGGTATTTTGTTGAGGCCCAAACACTGAAAGATACGAACGGGGGGGTGCATATGACAGGAGAGTTTCCTCTCGCTCCTGGGACCTTGGAGCCCGGGCGCGGGATGGAGGGTCGAGCTCAGCGACCTGGCAGCTTGTGTGTGGGTTTGCTCCGATTGCAGCGGCAAAAGTCGCAGCGCCCACCAGCCAGGAGGGGCCCGAATCCGCGGCCCTGGGATGGGCAGAGGAGAGCTAGGGAGGCCGAGTTCCAGCCCAGCTCAGTCCAGACGCAGCAGGCCCGGGAAGAGCACCGAGAGGAGGGTACTGCTTGCGGTCTGTAAATCGTGGCCTGGAGCCCTCCCACCCTAGGTGGCACAGTAGGGGGTGGGGTACGCTGGGGGGAGGGGGCAATGCCAGCGTCTGCGGGGGAGGAGTGGCGCTGCCTTCCCAGGGAGACCCGACCTTTCTTGGAGAGGCGTGGTGAGCCTAGTCTCCAGGATCCGCAGTGAAGTGTAAAAAGCGGCACGACCCCCGAAGCCGCAGAAAGCCTCCACCCCTCCCCCCGAGGTCCGCCCCGGCCTGCAGGTGACTGGCTGGCCCGCACAAAGGAAGCCGGTTGGAAATGTGGAATTCGGACCAATTTACGGGAGATTCTGTCGCCCAGAGTCCCAGCAGACCTCAAGCAAAGAAACCTGTGGTCAGGAGTGGACAGGATAAAAACAGTGCACCAGGCCAAGCTTATTGGAAAGACTGAGTTTAGTTATTCTGGGATAGCGAGGTAACAGGATTAAAGGGATTAAGGAAATCACCTCAAACAGTTGAGGAGGGGGTAAAAAAACACTGGTTCTATTTGTTTTCCTCCTAGGCCCCAAACAGATACACTGGGGCCGTGTGGCCGGGCGCGAAACGAAAGGCCTTTCGGGGGACTCAGTGGAATGCCCAAGGGTCAGGGATTGGGGGAAAGTACGAGGGCGGGGGGGGGGGGGGGGGGGGTGCGGTGGAGGAGGGGAAGCGGGCTAAAGGCTTCGAGTGAGAGGGAGCCTCTTCTAGAAAACAAATAGGTGGACTGGGTTGACAGGTCAAAAAGAAAAAGGCATCGGAGGAGTTCCATAGATCTTTACAAATCTAAGGTGTACTTTAAAAATCCAAATTTTCTAGCGTTGGATAGGGTTCCACCGCTTCAGCCACCACGGTTGAAATGTACTTACTTCCTCCTGCTAGGGATTCCTGTAACCATTTATTTTTAATAGGATAATTGAGATTTCCTTAGGGTTTTCGTTTTGTAAATATTTCAGCTCTGCTCAGGTGTCTCCCCGCCCCAGTGCACAAAGGTAAACGCGCCGCCTTGGGGGACAGTCTCTGAGGCCGCGGGCCGCCCCTTCCAGGCCCGCGTGGCCGCGGTGGCAGACACTCCTCCAGCGGACGATCCCCGCGATCAACAAGTGCGTGACCGCGGGCTGTTTGCCTCAGCTCGAGTGTGCCCGCTCCCAGGAAGACAAACTGCTTTCTCCTCGGAGTTTGCGTTGAAAATATTGGGAGCGGGTGTGTTTTGGATTACCAGGACTAAGCAACCATTTCAGATGACGCTCGCCTCCCGCTTGGCCCCTTCCAGTCCCCAGAACGGAACACGGTCTTGATGCCGAGTGATGATGGTGCCGCCCTCCCCGATCCTCTCCTAAACTTTCAGGCCCGCAAAATTATCAGGACTCCATTATATTGGTTATAAAATTTATTGATCTCTCATTTAGGAATTAAGAGTGAAACCTGGAAAAACCTGAAACAAAACAGCCCCTTCCCCACCACCCAAACGAAATCCGAATACATTAGCGCGTCGAAATATCAAACAGATCATGGCAGAAACCACCAACTCAACAGCCTAAATGCGGACTGGACAGAAACTGTCCCGCCGCCAAGGGCGGCGAAGCGGGATACACACGCATATACCTGGCTATAAATTAACATTGGCCTTAGCTGCCGCGCAGCTCCGCGCGGTCAGTCCCCCAAAAACCCACGAGGAAACAGATGCAACGCGACTGGGGGAGGGAGCGTTGCAGTTCTCAGGCCAGCCTCACCCGAGTACGTTTCTCCCATCCACTCACTCCTCGGCTAAGAGCAAAGTAAGGAGACGACATTTTCAAATGCAACAGAAAAACCCAGGAACCCAGGAGGAGGGGGGCTGCTTTCTCTTTGCAAACATCACAGCGATTCCCAGCCTACAAAAGGAGAGGGAGGGGCAGCAGCGAGGGGCAGGCGAGCTCTAGAAAGTCCCATTTCCGCTGCTCCGGACTTCTTTTAGCTTTTGTACAAAACCCGACAGCTACAGCAAAACTTTCTGTCCTCCCCTCATCAGTACAAGGCAACAGTCCCAGGCAAGCAAAGCTAAACAACAAGGCGTCCCAACTTGGGGGTGCGGGATGGGGTGGGGGCGGAGGGGAGGCGAGCGCGGTCTGGCGTTCAGATGTGGGTCAGCGGTACGGTTCCGTTGACGGCAGTCCCGGCGCCCTGGTAGTGTTGGTGCACGCTGTGCAGGCGGCCCCCAGGCAGCGGCGAGGCGGCGTCAGCCGCGTCCCCGCCGGGTGGCAGGTACATGCTGATCATGTCGCGCAGGTCGCCGAGGCACGCGCGCTGCGAGTGCGAAGTGATGGCGGGCGGCGGTGAGCTGGGTTCGGTCTTCACCACCGTGCCCATGGGGCCCAGGCTCATTCTGCGGCGGCCGCGGCGGCCGCGTTCATGTAGCTCTGGGCGCCGGGCGGCATCATGGGGCTGTACTGCAGGCCGGCCATGTCGTAGCGGTGCATCTGCGGCAGCGCGGGTGGCGGCGGCGGGCTGCTCATGGTGGCGGGCTGCGCGTAGCCCAGCTGCTCCTGCACCAGCGAGTACGCGCCGTTGGCCCAGCCGTTCACGTGTGTGTACGTGTCCAGGCGCTGGCCCACGCCCACCGGGCTGCTGGCGGCGGCGGCGGCGGCGGCGGCAGCGGCGGCCGCGGCAGCGCCGGGGGGCAGCAGGCCGCCGGGCAGCGAGTACTTGTCCTTCTTGAGTAGGGTCTTGGTCTTACGGCGCGGCCGATACTTGTAGTCCGGGTACTCCTTCATGTGCACGGCGCGCAGTCGCTTGGCCTCGTCGATGAACGGCCGCTTCTCGGCGTCGGTCAGCAGTTTCCAGTCGGCACCCAAACGCTTACTGATCTCAGAGTTGTGCATCTTGGGGTTCTCCAGGGCCATTTTGCGCCGCTGCCCGCGGGACCACACCATGAAGGCGTTCATGGGCCGCTTCACGCGGTCTTGGTCGCTGCCCCCGCCGCCGCCGCCGCCGCTCGCGCCGCCGCCACTGCCGCCGCCTGCGTTCGCGCCGCCGGCTGCGTTCGCGCTGCTCTTTCCCGCGCCGCCGGGCCCTGCGGGGCCGCCAGCACCTGCCGCCGGGGTGGGTGGCCCCACGGTATTCTTGAGCTCAGTCTCCAGCAGGCTGTACATGGCCGGGGCGGGAAGAAGGTGTGCCAGAGTGGCGGGAGGAGAAGGCGCTCCGGGGGCTGGAGCAGCCACGGTGAAAAGGCCAGGGGACTCCGTCGGAAGAACGCTTGGGGGCCGGTCGGCCGGCGAGTCGGGCGGGAAGGGCAGGCTTGCCGAAGCGCTCCGCGCCAAGTCAGCAGGAACCCCCAGGCTAGCGCACCTGATACGTTGTCTCGAGCCGGTCTCATTCGCAGTCTGGCCAGGCGCTTTCAGGGCCCCTTATATACCTGCTCGGATCCCCCGGGGTTGGGGCTCGGTCCGCCCCTCGCCACCGGGAGGCCCCGTGATTGACAGGCTCTCAGTGATGCGCCCTGGCCAATCATCATGGAGCCCCCGTTCGGCCCCGCTAGAAAAAAAAGTTCGGGGAGCCCTTTCGTTCACCCCCACGCCCTTCTTGGGCCCGGTGACGTGATGAGAGTTATTCAGGAGGCGGGAGTCCTGGAGAGCCGCTCAGAGACCACCAATTAGGGTCTCAAAAGTTTGAAAGAACGAAACTCTAGGAGGTGACGGAGGGGGGAGGGGGCGCGCAAGCAGGATTGGGAGGAAGGGGGGCAAGAGGGGCACCCACGCGGTTCAGAAAACAACTTTGCAGCCCTGTCAGGGCCGAGTGGCACCAGGTCCCGGGGCCACCCTGCAAAGCTTCCCACTGTCTCCGTCTTGGTCCTCAGACCACTTCTGCCACCAGCTCTGGGGACCCAGGGGACCGCAGCATTGCCAGCTACCCAGGCGGGCTTGGGGACTCAAGACGCAGCGGAGATGCCCCGGACTGCGGCTCCAAGAAGCCCTTCCTAGAATCGGCCCCTCTCCAGCAGGAGCCTCCGCCGAGGTGTCGCGGGCCGGCGCGCCCAGGACTGAGCGGGAGTCGGGCACCAGGGCACCGGGGACAGGCTTCGGGACCGCGGAGCGCACGGGGGCTGTGAGGTTCCCTGCTGGAGGGTGTGAGGGCGAGCAGTCAGCCGCCCGCTGCCCGGGCCGGGCGGAGACGCTCCCAGGCGCTGGTGCGGGGAGTGTGTGTGGGGTGGAGGGGGTGAGCCTGACTCGTCTCTCTCGCTCCAGGCCCCCGCTTAGCGGCCCCTTTTTGTCTCTGCTCTCTGGCCATTTCGGTTTTTCCAGTCCGATGCCCCTGAGGGGGAGGGTCGGGCCCCTTGGAAAATCCGTTTTCATGGCAACACAGAGCCTCTCCAAGTGAAAGAAAAGTTTCTTGGCGGGGGGGATGGTGGCCGGAGAGGAGCCGAGGCCGTCCTCGGGGTGGACCGCCGGGCCCCCTCCGCTGGCCGCGCACCTGCCAGGACCACTGAGCGCAGCTCTAGCGGCACAGCCGCGCCGCCTTCCCCGGGGAGCAGGCTCTGCTAACGGATTCCGTCCTCCTTTTTTGATTTACAGCCTTCCTGACCTTAGTCTCGAGACTTGGAGCGGGACACTCACCCGCATGTTGGGTTGTCTACCAAAGACTAGCGGCGCGGAAACCCCAGCTGCGGGGAGAGGGAACCCCAGCAATCGCCTTCTTCTGCCCGAGCGAGTGGCACAGCGTTTGAAACTCCCTGAGCCGCCCGAGGCGACGGGTGGGAAGGAGAAACCTGCCGGGCAGAAGTGGCAGAGACTGAAATAAGGTGTCCGCGCAGTGTGGCACCCCACCCCACCCCCAGCCTCGTGGAAAGGTGGGGAACCAAAAGAACGGCATAAATCCTAAGTGTGAAAAAAGGGGGGGAAGCAGGTTTTTAGCTTTTAAGCACTAATGCAAGCCCGGGCGGTCCTGGGACGCCTGCTCACCGGGAGCTTCCCCCTTTCCTGCACGAATTTAAAGTACGCTGGTGTGGCTTGGGGGATGAGTAAAGCCGGAGTTCAGGTTCCCTCTGGGGAAGGCGGACCAATGGTACCAGAATCCCAGGTCCCAGCCGGCATCATCTCCTGGAATTTTGGGGACTCTTAACCCGCCCCTTAATTTTGGATCCCACCTGGTGTACGTTCTTCTGCGCATGAGGTCGGAAGGAAGCAAACGTTCACAGTCAAGGGCTTACGATCATTTGAATGGGTGTATGGATTTAGGGTTATAAAGTGAAGTATCTGGAATGGTTCTGTGTAGGGGTCTTGTATGTGTGTCTGTGTGTGCACGCGCGCAAGCACGCGCACGGGTAAGCACCACTTCAAGGTGACACGGACTGGAAGGCGTGTCTCAGATAACGGAATGATTCGGCACCTGTTTTTCTAGGCAACGTGGCTGACAAAGTCACATTTTCCTAGGCAAACCCACATTTTCCCGAAGAAGTCAATGAGCAGCAGCCCTGCCCTCCTGCAGCCTTCTCCAGATGCCCTCTGGTTCTCTGGGCCTCCGAGGCTGTTGCTAAGTGAAGCGCGTTTTAGGAAACTACCCAACCGACGCGCAGCCTGGCGTCCAGTAGCCTGACAGATGTCAGGATTCTTTCCAAGTTTTAGGACCCAAGTAAGCCGTTGTGGTGACAGCGCCTGGGCTGCCTGTTTCCCAAGGCAAGGGATGCGGTGCTGGGCCTGGGCTCCTCCCCGCAGCTGATTATCTAGGGAACTAGTCACTGCCCCCAGCTGTTTGTCATTTGATCACACCTAGCCTGTGTCTTAGGTGGGCTCATTTTCACATTACATTCTTCTGCCAGATTTACAGCAGTCCGTTGCCTGGATCAGACGCCCTGTCCCACACTCTTGGCTTCTCTCGGAGGCCGTGATTAAATTGGTGTCCTTGCCTGGTGGCTCTGGGGTGGTCTGCACAGCCCCCAATAGTCACACCGAATTTCTTCAGAACATTTCCGAGGAAACGTCCTTAGCCCAAATTGCCATCTCAATAGGCAAGCCAGGTAACCATTACGTGCGTGGGGAAATGGGGGGAAGGCTGACAGGAAACCATTCTCTTGGCCCACTAGCACCTGCCGAGCGGCGCGACCTTCGCTGGGGGTCTGGAGAAGTGTCGCGGTAGGTACTAAGGCCCGAGGGAATGTTAGTTCAGACCGGGTCTGCGGGGATGCAAGACTGCCGGCGGAGCCAGTACCAGTATTTCCGGCACGCACCCTGCACCCAGTGAGGAAAGCAGAGGGACACAGCGATTCAGGACCAATCCTTTGCGACCTTTTTCGGAGAAGACAGCGTGTTCGGCAGCTCCCTTGTCCTTCAGGGCCTCCGGGAGCCCGTGGCGGCATACAGAGCCCGGGATGGCGGGCTGGGAACTCGGACAAACACCCCCCTCCATTCCCCTCACCCTTCCGTGAGAGCTACCGGTGCCTCCGATTGGGGCTGGGCCTGGGAGTCCCAGGACCCAGGGCGCGGCAACAGCGCCGTTTGTTGGCTTGGGTTGGAAACTTCACCCAGAAGCCCCCTTCCCACCCTCCTGGGCTTAGCGGTCGTCCCAACCTTACAAGAAGAGGCAGCCCGCTTAGCCGCGGGGCAACAGTGGTGTCCATTCTTAGCTGGCCCATTACCACAAAACTCGGGGGACCGAGGCTTTAGCATGGTGGGTTTCGCGGGCTCCGGGTGTGCAGGGAACTCCCACTGTGCCTTCCTCTGGTTTCGAGCCCTGGCAGAAAGTAGGTGTCTCAAGGGCATCATATCTGCAAAGTACACTTTTACCAGTTGTGCCTTAGAGCACAGGTAGAGCAGAGCAGGAGAGTGGACGTCCCACCAATTGCACGGGGTTGCCTGCGGCGATTTCTCCTCAGCAACTGCTCATGGGGGGCCCTTTTCAGGGTCTCTGGCTCGATTAGGACCCAGCCTCTTAAAAGAGGTGCCCTTTGCGTGCTTGGTGGGATGGGGTGCTGAGGGTCGGTGCCCGCTCCCGGGACTGAGGCCTGACAGTAGGGTTGAGCACTGACCTTTTTCAAGTGCATCCGAGCCAGCGAGCGGTCTGGCTTTGAGGAAGTGCGAGAGACGTATCCTGGCGACACTCAGAAACGCTCTGCTTTCCAGCAGGAAAAAAAAAAAAGTTTGCTTATCTAAAGGCAGTAATTCCTATTTCTTCCTTGAGAACACACCTTGACTATTTACTCTGGTTCCTAGCCAAGATTTTGTATTTAGCCCACGGAAGGAGGGTCGTGATCAAGAAATCAGAGGCTTGTGTCTGTTGTAGAACCATCTCTTCTGAGAGGTCGAAAAGGTCACCAGCACTCCAACGAGGGAGGAGACACAGCACCTTACAGTTCTCTGACCGTTCAGTTTGATCCCTCTCTCCTAAACCGACACCCGCCCACACACACCACCTTCCAATGAAACAGTGGTTCCTACAGGTCTGGGAAGGAGCTAGGCTGGGGTGCGGGTTGCAAACAGTAATAGTTGAAGCTCTCTAAAGAAAGGTTCCTAGGAGCTACGGAGGTGTGTGGTGACCTGGTCCTCAAGGTAACCAAAAATCTTATGTGGGCGGTATAATTGTATTCTGTTGAACTTTGGTGTAGGTAGCCCTTTTGGGGAGGGAGGGTGTACTTTTAAATGCAGGATTCCGAATTCGATTCCCTTGACGAGCTGAGCCTATTTGGTCGATAAACTAGGGATCCCCTCGTCCCACACCTTGGCGCGCTAGGTCGCAAAGATTCCTTTCACTCACCGGGCACTGCGATTGACGACCAGCTCTCCTTTCCCTGGGTGCCGAGCAAACTACGAGGAATGTGGCCACCTTTGCCTTGAGCATCCTCTCGCAGTCCTCACTACGCGGACACTACTGGAACCCTGCCATCTTGCTGGGTGGAAGGAAGGCTCTGCCCGGCAACTGGGTCCCACTTACCGAGGGTTTTCCGGGTCACCTACCCCTTCGCCTGGCTCCCTCCGCCGCCCTCGACTTCCCGCACCCATCCCGACCTCTGGGCAGCCCCGGCGCTCCAGGCCGAGAGCGCGCCCGGAACCCGGCACCCTGCGGCCAGGCCTGCCTTCCGCCGCGCCGGCTGCCTCTTCCACTTGCTCGGGTGGCTGCCGAGGCACGGCCCTCCACAGCGGCCAGGTGGCCAGCCGTCAGCCGGGGCCCAGAGAACAATCTGAACATCGTTATCAGTCCGTAATGCTGCCTGTGTTATTCCACGTGCCCACCAGCCCACACGCGTACTCAGACAGACGGGGCACGGGCGCCGCAGGCCCGGCAGTGCTCCGCCGGGACGGCGGCCTGTGAGATCGCGGCGTCTCCGGGGTGACCAGGCGAGGCCAGCGGCCCCAAGCGCAGGGGGCGCAGCATGGCGGGCTGAGG